ATCAGGGGCGTTTCCTCCGAGGAGGCAAGGGAGGCAGTGTCTCCTCAAAAAGTTGGATGAGAAAATAATCGATATTACAAAAATAAAACAGCGCAAATATGACTAAATATGATATTAAAAGTCTAAAAGTCACTCGTTTTTATAAAGTAACACTGTCCAACAGCGACACCCGCAGGTAAAGTTACAGCGGAGGCTTGCCTCCCTTCGGTCCATTGACTTTCTACAGAGACCCTAAAGCGTGCCGTGACTTTTCTGGAGGCTCATTGAGATGAATGGGGGAAAATCACGTGAGAGGAGGCAATGCCTCCATCGCGCTATAATTGGATATGATCGGTTATGATTGAATGTGATTGGTTCGTGTAATAAATCCCGCCTCTTGCTTTCGTGCGAGCTCTCGGCCTGAATGAAGAAGGGTTAGGGTATGTGTAGGGAGGGCTTTATTGTCCCAATAAGGTGGCATCCTTTTAATAATTTGAATTAAAATTATAATTTACACTCAATATGTTATTAATGCCTACTGTTTTATAATGTACTACAATACGGAGGTGCAGATAATTGCCACTATTTGCAATAAGTAGTGTAAATAGCAGAAAATCCTGCTAACATTAGGTGTAAATAGAATCTATAGCTATTTGCAAGTGTAAACATGAATTTACATGAAACATGACTGGCTCCTCATTTTAAAACACCACCGCACACCACTGATATATATACCACTGTTACACATGCATACATATATATATATATATATATATATAGAGAGAGTATGAAAATTTATGTAAATGTCTACAAAAATCTATAAAATTACATTGAGATCTTGTTGGAAGAACACACCTATTTGTTAAAATAAGTTATTGAAATGTAAACAATTAAATGGTTGACTTAATCTTGCATGATTACTAGTTATAACTCATTAAAACTGATTTAATTCTGTATGAGTATGTCTGAAAAGCAGGCTTAACTTTGTGCTCATGTTTGATTGTAGAGGGTATATTAAAGCTACTAAAGTTATCCAGCTGCGAGCAGTGAGTGGCTTTCTCTTTTTCCTGTTAAAATTTGTGATTGATTAATAGTAGCAACACAATAGACAGTGGCAGGTCCATTTACATTTCAAGGCGTATCTGATATTCTAACATATCACACATCCATTTTTTTGTTCTACCTGTTTGCATTCACTAAAGACATAATCAACTGTGTTTATATTAACACCTCGGTATGATGAGCATTTTGAACAAGAAAAGCTTGACCGTTCGTGCGTGTAGCATTACTGCGAAGCACGAGCGCACTTCACAGAGCATGCACACAGTACGTGCGAGCATTGAAAAACAGCCGCCTGTCAGTCACACAACACTTGAGTCAGTACTGCCCGTAATGTAGAAAGAATGCAATCTTGAATTTTTAGTTTAAAGCATCAACTCAGTACTGCAGACTCTTGATTATTCCAAAACTTATGATAAAGTAATTTCATTGTCTTTGACTCAGAGGAAATGAGCACGTGTAAAGAACCATGGTGCTTTTTATCTGTCCTCCTGAGGATTGAAAACATGAAGTGATGTGTGGGCAATCCCATAACTGTGGCCTTTCATCTCAGCAGATCAGATAAACAGACCTTCCCACACAATCCATATGCATCTGAATCATTCTTAATCGGCAATGCAGACACTGATGAATTCTCTCTCTGACAGATGAATAAAGCAAGTAAAAGAGTCTAACATTTCAGAGTCAAGCATGGAATCACTTGCTCATATTGTGTATCTACAGCTAAAGTCAACATGAAATCAAAATTAACCTATTTACTTTCTTCTAAAAGAAAGCCTTTGTAATCTGTAATCACAATGTATTTTCCCTTTCCATTCATGTCACTATTGGATAATGTTAACCAATATTTTCACAAACACACATTCAGTCTGATACGCAATGCCTGCTTTTCCCAATCCAATCAACTCCCAATGGATAAAACACGGTCTTGCCATACATTTTTTTTTATCATTAAATGTCCTATTTAACATAAATGTACCACATTATTGAAGTAAAATGGGTTTCACACTGACTTTAAAGTTACTGTAATCATCTCTGACATGTGGCATATGAGTTTATCCAGTAAGGGTTAGTATATTTATGTTAACAGAAGCATGTGTTGTCTGAAGCTGGAGTTGGTTATATGTCCTAGCGTCTGCTTTAGTGCTGCTACATTCCCCTGTCTGAGTCTATGGGAGAACACAGAGTGTTGGCTCATACTCTAAAGAAGAACCTGGCATGTTCCAACCCTTGAAGCCCTGCTCTAACACCCTCTCTTTATTTTCTTCCCCAGTCCCTTGAGAAAGTTTGTCTGAGGGGAATTTGTAAAGGAAAACAGGTCTACTAAGAAAGTAAAAAAAAAAAATTCACAGCTTAGAAAGACCAAATAGGATCTTCAACATTTCTGTTGACAGAAGCTACCCAGAAAAATAATGAGCAATATGCTGCATGTAAAGAAATGAAACGACAATCATTGTAGACTAGGGATGCCATTTGATCAGATGTGATGTGTGTTTACAGGATTTTAAGGGTAGAAGAGAGCCAACACTTGATGTTCTGCAGTGATAAGGGCTTCTCTAGGATTAGTAAACATCCTGGCTACATTTGAAGCAGCCCTACCTTGTGTTTCTCAGGTCGAGTCCATGAAGCCTGGGAGGACAAACACACAAAGCAAAACATGACAGAAATGAAAAAAAAAAAAAGCCATAAAAAAAGTCAGTAGGCACTCAGTTAGACACATGCACGCTATTCAGAGCAGACAGCTTGTGAAGCTCCAAGCTGAACAACTTGACTTTAATCAAATCAAAGACAAATTTCAAAGTTTTAGTAATTGTACCATACTTACAGGCAATAGAGATGTTAATAATAACATACTTTTATTTTGTATGTTATGTTTTTTATTATTTTATTTGGAGTTCTGAGTTATTTATAGGCATGGGCCGATAACCAGTTTCAAGGTATACCGCGATTTGAAAATTTCACGGTTTCAAAACCGCTAATATTTTCCGTTATACCGTTCCTGTGGTATGCGCTGTTTTTCATGTCTCCTCAAAGACTGAAAGTGTAGGAATCCCTCAGGTTGAGTGCAGTGTAGAGAGTAACATGACCCTCCTCCTCCTGTTGGTGCGAGCGAGCGGTCAGTCACGTGTGTGTAGGATGGCCGAACTTAAAGAGCTTCCTACACGATCGACAACGGCTGTTTTTTGTCTTATTGCAAGCATTCTTCTTTTTAGGAAACAAATCAAAGAAAAAATAAACAAATTCTACTGTTCCTAATATTCTGTATGTTGCTCAAAAACAAAATATATTGTGTTCAGCGGAAATTATTATTATTTTTTTTACCCAGCCATTTAAAAATAACACATTTTAGAGCTGTAATGACAATACCGTGATACCGTGATATTTTTGCTTAAGGTTATCATACCATCAAAATCTCATACCGGCCCATGCCTAGTTATTTATAAAAAAAACTTTATAAAAAAACAAGCTTTATAAATAAGAAAAAATTATGTAAAAATGATGTAATTATATAAAATGCTTTATATATATACATGACCTTGAACTGGCCTTGTTATGACCAGTATCAGAGCATGATACCAGTTGAGAAGTGCATAATCAAAACATCATCAAGTGTGACAAATCATTTTTTGATTTGAACAACAATCAAACTGCATGGAAAAGGACACATTTAGCTGCAGGCTGGGAAATCAAATTACTTAAACATGAGTGGATGCTCAGACATCCAGGTGCAATGCTCCAGGTGACACATGCATATGATCTTGCAAATGATGAGAAAAGTCATCCCCCCACCCCACCCCACATGTTGACAAGCCATCAAAATGCCACGCTACATCAATAATTAATAACACAATAGGTATACATATGAAATGATGCACACCTTGGAACTAAAGCGACAAGTCAAAGAGCTCATCAATCTGCCGAGGTCTACTGCCTGTGATGCTAACTGTGATCACCACATTCATTACGCCTATGTCCCATAAGTCACAGGCAGCAGCTTTGAGCCTTAACGAGAGCCATTCTTTCATTTGACAACACAGATCCCTTTATTCTTTGAACGGGACAGTGATGAGTAGTTTTCAGTGAAGGTTTTTATACCTTCCACTCATTTGTTAACCTAAAATCAATCAATGACGTTGCCATCTGGAATTGCATTGGCGAGAATTTGCATGACTCACAATAGTGGCTGTTGAAGATGTGACTAGAACCACTGATAAATCAAACAGACATGAATAGCAGACAACCTACCCATTTGACTTATGACAGAGCGACAGCGATTCAATGCTTGCTCTTCATGAAGGCAGCATTCTATTATTTTGACTGCTAATCACACAATTTGCTTAAAAGGGAATCTGCCGCAGACAAGTGGGATTTCAGGATGCATTATCAAATCTGACACTGATCAAGCAGAATAATGACATTTGTGATTAAAGAAACTACTTGTAGTCTGCTGAGTTCCAGCTAAATATTTAAGGCCATTTGGTGTGCATGAACAAAGGACAGGATTTTATAAACCACTTAGGTCTTCGTCTATGCATATCAATTGAGTCGTTTGTCGGATGACGGCTAAAAGCAGTCTGTGGAGCCAGACTTTTGACTAAGTACATCTGTCTGGTCTACTTTGTAGTTTATTCTAGCAAATAACTGTCCAATTAGACAGGAAGAAATTGTTTGATTGATATATCAAGTGATCAATCACAGTTTGTTTACTTGTCAATTAGGAGCAGGTATAATTAAAATAGTTGATGCCACAATAAATCTGGCATTGAAAAAAAATACTTCTGTCAGGACCACTATCGTCAAAGATGATTGACAATTAGCATACAGTTTGGATTGGCGGTATGGTTCTGTTCTTGGCAAGAAAAGAGCAGCGATAACCCCCCCAGGGTAAACAGAACAGAACCAACATAAATGTATTGCAGATATCGTTAAAATTCAATAATGTTATGTACACATTTTAGAATTAGTCTGATTCAAAGGA